ATAGAAGACAGAGGGGAAAGCTATGCTTACTGTACCCACTATCCAATCAAGATGAGAATGTCAGGTTAGCATGTGTATATTCTTCACTTATATTCATTAGTTAAAATTAGTACATATAGTTATGAAAATACAAGGTCCATTCACTACACCATGTGTTTTTCAGTACTGGTGTTGCTTTTTAGTTACCTGCAGGATTTAAAATACTAAAGAGAGTGTGAAGGCATTTATTTTTCTTGTAGGATTGATTTTTTGAGTTTTTGCTTTGCTTTGCTTTAAAGAATTGACAGAGTTCTGCTTGCTCTGGAGTTGAAGGGTTTTAGGACAGTTTTCAAATGTGGATAGCTGCTTAAAGTAAAATGAAAATGAAGGAAACATTCGACCAATACTCAAATTTTAAAATACTTTTTCCTCAGAAAAATGTTGGAATCTTATAAAAATACACTATGTGCCCATATGAAAGGAAAGCTATTTTTTCTTTGTGTTAAATACTACAACATACAAGATGATAATATGGTAGTGAAAGTGCCACTTCTGAAAGCTTCTTATTAAGTGGAGCCCTTACGAGATTTTCTGCTTTGGATATATCTGAGTAAAAACTCTCAAGATATGTGTAGAAAAGACATTTCCCCCCCTCTCCCCACTTTCTTACTGCTTATTTAATCATCTTACTTAAAACAACAACAAAACTGTTTAAAAAGTGCTTTATCCCAGGCAAAGTTTGCATGAAAAGAGTAAGCAGGGCATAGTCTATTTTACTGTGTGAACCTGAGTCCTCAGCATAACTGTTTCTGTCAGTGGTTTTTCCAGTTAGTATACATGATAAAGCTAAACACTGGTTTAGTCTTTTCAAGACCTTTCTTATTTCCTAGACGAAGACATTACTGAAATTAGGAAATTAGAGAGGTGAACTCCTGCATTACTTTTTCTTAACTTGCTTTATCAGAAACTGTTTCCAAATGTGACCCCTGAAGTGAAGACGAAGTAAGAACCATTCATATGGAAAAGCATTTCCCCCCAGTTAAGCAATCATTACACATATGTCTGTTCTGCCTTGAATATTAAGCCACTTCTATTACGTGCAGATCTTCCTGATCCTTTGGAGAGAAGAAATGAAAAGTTATAAAGCTATCCTGTACAGCATGGTTTTGGTCAGGTTTCACATGCACACTGGACATTCCTGAACCTATTTTTTTTAATTATTATTAATTTAACTTTTATCTAAATACCAGACTGAGTGATAAATGGTTTAGGGCCATTGCAACTTGGCAGCAGCCATTTGAAGTAAATGTGTGTTTGCCCATGTTGATTTCAGGTGAAGTCTCTCCTTCTGCCTCTTTCCTTTGAATGCTTGGATTAAAAAAACAAAAAACAAAAAACACACATTGAAGTTTCAAAATGCTGCATGGCTACAGATAGTGCAGATACAGTATTGAACAGTCACGTATGTGGGTTTTAATACTAGAAAATACAAGACAAACCTCAGCTGCACCTGTAAAAATAAAAATGCTACTTTTCTGTGGCACTGCATGGTTACCTTTTTCTGCAGTGTGAGAATATCGTTCGTATGTTTTCCCCAGGCATTATCCACTTTGGGCACAGAAATGTACAACAGCCTCAAAATGGCGTTCTCTGCTAGGGAAATGCAAAGACAAAAGCTAGAATAAAATAGTAGTTCCAGCACAAAGTGATCTTTTCCAGTGGATTACATTTCTCAGCCTGATTAAGGTTTTGGCCACTTGCTGGCCAGTAAAAGGTGAATGCTCATACTGTAAATTTGATATTCCTATAAAAATCTTCCTCTGTACGTATGGCATAGCCATTTGCTATCTGAGCATGTGTGCAAGTACTGTATTAAAGCAAAATTGTGTTTTACAAATCCCCACAATGAATCTCAAGTGTCTGTTTGCTTTCCCTTCTGTGCTGAAAACTCCTAGCACTGCCAACTGAGCACTGGAACAGAATTTTGGTTTGTGTGCTTTATTGGATGAAATACCCGATCTTTATGACCGTTTCCCTAATTGTTGCAGGTCTATTAAGGGAATGAGATCTTCAATTCAGGTAGTTACAGAGCAGTAAGTTAGTTGTACGTGTTTTCTGAATGTAGTGATGAGTTGCTACGATAACGTTGAAGGGAGAAAATTACTGTTGATGTAGTACCAATTTTTTTGTATCGTTAGATATTTTATAACATTTCCTAAGTGCCATGTTTATTTGTATAACTAGAAAAAAATGTCCTAAACAGTATCTTCCAAGATTTTCCTGTCATTCACATGTAACCCTTTATTAGTAATCTTCAGGCTGAGTTATTAACGTGATTTATATTGTGCAATTTTATGTATGGCAAATATTAATGTGTAGTCTTGCTCTAACAGTATTCACGCCTACTGGACTGGACATATACATACATTTGATATGTGTGCTCCGCCACGTTACAGCACACGTGTGTGTGCACTTACATGCTGAAGAGCTGAAGTACATGTCGTTTCTTTAATATAATTGTTGGGGGGAGAGGAAATAGTTTCTTTTTCTTATTGCTGAATGATGGAAGCAATTTAGGCTTTCCAGTTTTGGTATTTGGCTTAAAAGTTTTTGAAAAGCAGATGTAATTCTAATTGAGTCAGGGAGAGTCTCGCTGCCTTGTTGCCAGGAGACAAAAGGTGTCACTGTCTTTTTTTTTTTTCCTCCCTCCATGATTTTCTTATTAAGTTCCTCGTTGCACTAGAAAAAGCACTGTACAGTTCTCTTGAATTGTTTTGTGAACCAAGAAAAACTCATTGCATGGCATTTGCATGCAATGTAATGTTGATGATATGCTGAGAGTCAACTTAAGAGCTGATCTTGTAAGATTTCATTGTTTTTATCATCTATCTAAAATCTCTAGTAAAATGCCCTGGCAAAAAATGGTTAAGTTTGGGAGTTGAAATTTGCATGGATTCGTCACCGATATCCCCTGGGAACTTTCAGTACTCTGAAAAGGAAGTGTTTTTAAACAACTTAAAAAATAGTTCACTAAGAATATCTGGAAGTGGTTTTTCATTATTTTTAATTTGTTGGGGTTTTTTTTGTTTGTTTTGTTTAGTTTTGAGGTGCTAGCATTATCATTCACATTGTACTTTTTGTGTAGGTAGCATACAAAAACCCCAGTGAATATTTTGCTTTTAGAAATGTTTTAGCTTTGTCATGCTGCAATAAGCTTCATTAAAACAACGAGTATTAAATTGTGGCATATATTTAGGCAGCATGGATTTGATTCATCTTCCAAAAAGTAAAAAAGTAAAAAATTACAAAGAAAGATTTTTTGCTTTCAGTACCAAGATGACGCACTCTTTTTGAAAAAATACTTTGCATTATATTCAAGGCCAAGGTAATATAATGTAAAAGTCTTTTCTTTCTTGTACAGTCATAAATGGTTCGATTCAGAGGTGCTGTTCTGAACCGAGGCCTTCCTGCTCCAACTGCCTGTGAACTCCACAGCCAAAACTGCACTGCTGCAGCTGCTGGTGGTGGAGTTCGCTTGGACTTCCCCAGTGCACGTTTCATAATGCAGTGCATTGTCCACAGGGTGTCTTTGAGAGTGGGATAGAAATCCATTCACATTTTCTAAAATCCTTGCTGTGTGTTCTGTCATTTTTGTCAAATATGAAATGTGTGTGTGTGTGTATATATAAGCAGAATGCTCAACTGTATCTGTGTATGGGAATAAAAATTTCTAGACAAAGGAAATACAGAATCACATGTATGTGTGACATTTTGTTTACTAAAGCTGAAAAATAGCAGAATACTGTTAAAGCCGAATATGTAAATTTAGACATCCTTTCAAAATGTAGGAAGCCTGGTAATGAATACAAGTGTGACAATTTTGGTAAGTATAACATGACATGGGGGAGAAATGATTCCCAGGAAGACAGTTCATGGAATACAAATTTTATAAAGTACTGAATTAAATGTGGTGTTATTTTTTCCTCAACTGTAATCTATACTTGCAATTAATATAAATAATATAAAGCCTCTATTATCTGTACAGATAAATACATTAATAGAGTTATTATACCATTGATATTCTTTTTTCATGATAATAATTATGAGTCAATATTGTTCGTGCTAAGAGGGTTGTTTTTCTTTTTTAAGAAATGGGATTTAAATGCCAACACACTGTTACACTCGGAGACTTCAGATAGCCAATCTAGACAGATGAATCTAAGATGCACATGATTCATTACATATTTTATTTTTAAAAGGTTAAAGAGAAATATTTAATTGAACTGTAAAACTGAAGTTGGCTATGTACAATAGATAGGATAGTAACGTTCAGCTCATAGATGGATAAAGTACCTGTGAATTCACTGTGTGCAACCAATTTGGGTTAAATATCTTCATGTATACTAAATAATTGCAACTCTGCTATGAATGTGTCATCACAATGGATAACCCTTTTTATTTTCTTCCACTGTGTGTGAATTTGTCACCTTACTAACATTTCACTGCAAAAAAAACCAACCAACCAACCAAACAAAAAAAAACAAAAAAAAAAAAACAGAGCAATTTCTGTGGTATGTTCTCCTTTTTGTTCCCACTACAATTTACTTTGTAGCTCTTCATTGTAAAACAGATAAAAAACAGAGCCTCTTAATACAAAATTTGGTCACTCAGCAACTCTTGCTTACTTGAAAAGCCTGTGAGTAATTTGCAATATGAAGGTATTTTAATGCCCTGTTTTGTGGACCTAAGAAATTTCAGGTTTTCATTGCAGATTTCAGTATGCCTATCTGCTTATTTTTTGCAGCTTAATATTCTCTAAAAATCAACACTTTTATAATTTTTTTACAAGGCGATATTTACTTTCTTTTTTCTATATATTTGTATTTTAATTCTCTCACTCCCCCCCTTTCTCCCCTAGTAGCTATTTCTTCAGGGCACACAATTTTGAGCAGACCTGCCCATTTAAATAAACAGGGGTGTGTTTTAAAATCCAATAGCTTGTCGTAACTCTGCGTTCCCAGTGAAATCAGAAGAAAAGTAGTGCTGGAGCAGAGCACTTGAACTTTGAGAACTGGAGTTGTCAGTCACTGCTGAAGGTACAGGAACAGCGGATGGTAAGTCCTTTTAATGTTTCTAAGGTTAAGCACTGCATGTGAAATATGGCATCTCCTGGGATAAGTGCCATCTCTTTTTCCTCTGAGTGTAGCTAGAGGAAAAAAACTGGTTTTTTTTTCCTGCTGGAATTAGCAGCGTGGTGGCCATTTGTGACCTGGGCTGGCTGCCTGCTGTCGCGAGGCGATGCTGGGGCTGTGAGCCCCTGGGCAGCAACAAGAGGATCGGGACCCGGCTGGGAGGCACCCGCACCTATGGGGCTGCAGGCAGCTGGGGGCAGCGGAGCTGGGGGGCTGGGGGGGGCCGGTATGATGTGGGATCCCAAAATCATAGGAGACGGTAATCTGCAGAGTGGAGCTGCATTGTCTGAGCTCAGCGTGAGGAATGGACTGCAGTCTGTCAGAGCATCAAGTAGTAATGGGCAAACTGGATGCGGTTTAAAGTTTAGTTGCACTGTCAATAAAACAAAACAGCAATGTTTTACAGCTGAGGAGATTTCTCCTTATCTGACGTGACTTTGCCGCTGCCTAGCTTCCAGCCTGCATCTCCTTCACAAATATATACTGCAGTTAAATTAGCCTCCAGGAACTTTATAGCACGTTTATGATAAATAAGTGGAAGCCAGTAAATAAAATCTTATCTTGGATTTTGATTAGTTGCTTGAGATGTGAATTTTCATCAGTAGGAATGGTATACAAGAAAATTATTAATATCATCAGTTTCAAGCATACAGTTTTGTATAGTTAAAAAGAAAAGTTGCACGATAAACAAAATTGTGTTGGTAACACCCTTTAAAAAACTGCTAATGTCATGCACTGTTTGATACTTCCTTCCTCTGGGAGAAAAAAGTATTAAAAAACAAAAAGCTTGTCCTACTGCCAGAGTTTCCTTTGTGCTGGTACCAGTTTAATGCCAACTTTGCTGTAAAACATCGTTAATATCCAGTGTACTGAAGGAAACATTTTTGCAAAATGCTTCATTATGTTGGATGCTGGAAATGCATCCTTGCTCAGCTGTGCCTTTACATTTCAGAATCGCTTGCATCAAAACTGTCTGTATTTGGTATTTTGAATGTTTTTTCCCCTCTAGGTTAATATGCCACTGATCCTCTGGAATTAATGTGAGTTATTCAATGAAGTACATTTCTATGATGTGTACATAACTATAATCCCACAGAGCACCATCAATCCCATCAGGAAACAATGGGCAAACTGCTTTGCTTCTATTTCTATTTTTTAAAAGATGCTTTTTTTAAAAAAAAAAAAAAAAGTATAGATATTCCTGGTGATCTTTATATAACAAATACTGGGATTATTTTATAGATATGAAAAGTACAAATTCAGAAATATGAATTTTCACTCTTATGGGCATCTTTATCTTAAAAGTTTAATAAATTTGATTGGATTATTTTTCTAAAAAACATGTACCTGGTCATATTTTATTAAACATTTCTGGAGGTTGTTAGTTTAGAAACATTCCAATATTGAAAATGATCTATATTATTTAGAAAGAAAAGATCACAAATCTGTATAGAAATGTTTTGATGTCTGTACTGCATAAAACGTAGATGTGATAGCACTCCAAGTTCAAATGAAAGAAAACTAATTAGTGCATTAGAGAAGTATGCGTCAATGAGTTTCCAATAGACAGAACTTGTGATAAGGGGAGAGAAAAGTGTTATAAAATGATGTAATAGACAAACTTCAGTTCAACACTATGGCTGTTTTAGAATTTACATAATTTCAAATTATTCAGGGATAATGAGTGTTAAAATAATTCCTCTGCTTCCTTTTCTTGAATTCCATTTCTCTTAAGTGAAGCATGCGAGTTAGACTTCCCTTAATTGCTTTCCCGAATCCTTATTTTTTAGTACAGCAGTAATCTTCAGTTAGATGACTTGCCATCCTATTTTACAGCTATGGTGACAGATATGATGTATTTGTGCATCTCCTTGAGGAAAGATAATATACAGTGGGCAAGTGTGAGCTGCATTTGTGTAAATGAGATGCACTTTTAACCATCCCAGTTACGAGACAGAAGCAGAGATGGAACTCAGCTGTCTTTGCATATTTATGAATAAAAAATGAGAAAGAAAGGGATAGGTGTAAAGAGTAACGGACAAGGAAATCTGTATTTTTATATAAAAAATACAACAGTAAATAAGGAGCTGAGAACAGCGTCTCGGAGAAAGGGCAAAAAGTCACTGGGGGATCCCATTAAATGCAAGTAAAATACTGCCAGCTAAGCTCTTCATAATGTGAGCCTCATCCTTTCTTAAAACAGTGGTCTGTCTTTTATATCATATTGGCATCAAAAGCTGTTGAATGCATCATCACAGTCTCTTAACATTTCTCATCTGTGCATGTCTGTTAAAAATAAATGCTATCACAGACATCATTATTTCAAAATAAAAATGATAAGAGTTTTTAGCGGGATACCACGGCTATCTGTTGCTAAGTCTGTACTCCAGAAGTTATGCTTGCTTTTACTTTCTAAGCACTCAAGATTTATGAATACACATCTACAGCCCATACACAGCAGACACAAGTTATTAGAAGAAGAGTTCAGAATTCCTAGGTATGATTTTACCAACATAAAACTTTGTGGGAAAGTTGCTGTTTAAATATCTTGTCAGATACATCCTGATAACCTCCAGTGTGTTTTTACTGTAATTCCCTAAAAATAAATATTAAAAACATTTTGTGGTTTCACAGTATTAAAAAAAAAAATAGAAACTGGTAAGGGTAGACCATAAAACATGTATCTGGCTTACAAAGGAACTGTTTATTCTCCTCAGAATGCCAGTGGTGAGCATTTTCGTGAGATTTGAGGCCGGATAAAAATGTGCAGCAGAGGTTCCCTAAATATGTCACTGCAGTACATTCAAGATGTGGCTCAGCCAGCCGTTCTGAGACCCACATGCCACTCTGTGCTTTCTAGACTTAGCTAATATTGTGCATTTTAATAGAGCAGCTGTAATCACATTTACTGCGTTCTGTCTGGAGTGTCATGGCCGAAAACAATGAGATGGGTTTTAATATATTTTATAATATATAGGGGGAAAGGATGTCCTGCTAAATGCAGGATACCCTGTTCTTTGTAATTCTTGCTTTTAGCAATTGTATCAGGCAGAGTGCATGCAGCTCCTGGGAGGGCTGCATTACAAGCCTACTGTAAGGCTGCCACTGTCATTACCACAGCAGATCACTTAAATACCATATTTTTAGAAGTCAGTGAGTTTATGTAAGAAGGAAATGCATCTCAAAAAAAACCTCTGAGGATGTGAAGACCTCTGCAATTTTTTACAGGAGCTTGCATTTGGAAGTAGTAGGTCTGAGAGCAGCCACTGAGGGGGGGGGAAAGGGGGTGAGGATCTGCGAGTTGCAAGGAATAGGATCACACATCTACTGTTTTTCCATCTCACTCTTTCTATCGTCTCATTATCAATATTTAGAGCAATAAGACATTAGTATCTTTTTCCTCAGGAATATTTTTAGAAGTGTTAGAAACAGCGTGGTATTGACTTTTCCAGTTAGTTGAAACTGTCCAGCTGCCCTAAAAGTACATCGGGGGAGCAATGATAGCATAAGCAAAATAAATATTAAATCAGGGGGACAACTACAACTTCCCTTAAGTAGCCATGTAATCTCTTTTTCCCTTTTTTCTGATGGTAACGTACTTTCCACAAAGAAGACTTCACAAGGTTGAATCCTGCAGTCTTTTTTTTTTTTTTTTTTTTTTTTACAAAGGGCAAACCGAATGCTCGACAACGCTTTTTATTAAGAAAGCACTTAAAAAAATTTGAATATACCAATAACAGAAAAAGTATATATATTTTTACTGCAAGCAGGAGATCTCATTGGTTGAGCGAAATGGCGAGATGTGACGCAAAAGGACACTTGGACGGGTAGAAATGCTGATGTATGCCAAAGCAGGCGTACCAAGAAATGCTGTTGCTATGAGAGAAACAGAGGGAGAGGGAGATCGTGAGAGAGCAAGTTGTAGAGGCCTTCTTTTCTCCCTTTTGGCTCGCATCACAGACTGCTCCATCTCATTCCTAGCAGGGAGGGTTTAGCAGTCCTCGGTGGGCATTTTCATCAGACCCAGCATCTAGAGGAAGGGAGGGAGGGTTTAGCAGGTCACCTCGGAATGCGAGAGCAATGGGAAAGCAGGAGGGTGTATGTGCTAAACCAGTGATCTGCGCTATGATAGATACACAAATTAGTACAGCAGATGAAGCAGCTTAGCTCGTTATCCACCTGTATTAAGACTCGCAACTCAAAGTTACAGAATTAAAATGCACACACGCACAGAGACACAGACAGACGTATAGTTATAATGCCCCCACCTTTCAGCTCATGAATTATCCAGCTGGGATAGCGCTGTCTCTTGTGTGACATTCTTACAGAGCTGCAATGAATTCACCTTGTGAGTCCATTAGCCGGAGAAGGAGGAAAATAATGTGCAGGAATATTTTTTTTGCCTTTCTTCTTCGGCAAGGGGGAAAAAAGTTTGCGCTATGAACTTAGCCTAGCAGCTTCTGGAACCGGAGCCAAAAGGGGCAGGAAGTTGTTTTACAATAGCGTTACAGTGATCTGCCACAAATGGAAAAAGCCAAATGTTGGACTCTGCAAAGAGAAAAAATATTCTTCTCTCTCTCGCCTCCCTTCTTCTGCCCCTTCAGAGAAAAAAAAAAGTAGAAAAAGGAAGGCTTGCTAGAAGCTCTTTTCATTTTTAATTACTTTTCCTAAGTAATGGAAAGATTATCGTACTTGCATATTCCATGGCAAGCACAAGGGGAAGAAGTATCAAAGGGACGTTTAAAAAAAACGCACTCGGTAACTAGCAACGGGACTTTTGGCACAATTCCTCGAGTTTGCTTGAGGTTATGGAGGGGGATGGGAAGGAGAGGAGCGAGTCTACGCAGTACATTTTCTTTAAAAAGGGGAGGAGGAATGGAGGCAAAACTGTATAAAACTTTTTTTTTTTCTTTTTCTTTCTTTCTTTTTTTTTTTTTTTTAAGGAAACGTGCGTTGCTCTTCTGAAGCTGAATCCTCAGGCATTCGTGGCCCGTCTCTGCAGCCCGATGTGTTTTTTGTGCGTGTGTGTAAGCGCTCTCAATCAAACAGAAATCATGGCAGCTGTTTTTCTTCCAGCACAGCAGTTGAGCTGTCTCGCCCAAATGCTTATCAGCTTTTGACTCCGTGCCAAGATAGTTATAAGGGCCAAGCAGCCTGCGCTTGGCTGTGCAGCTGGTGGAGGAGCGAGGGCATGAGAAAACAGAATCACCCAGCTTTTTTTGTCACACACACCATTTACTTTTTTTTTTTTTCCAATCCCCGTTTTCAGCGCCGTGGGTCTTCCGAGCAGCTTTTTCGCGGTCTCCGCAGCGCTTTCCTACAGGGCCGCATCTAGACGGGAGTCCGACGCTCCTTGTTTTAATCCCGGAAGATATTTCCGCAGGACCTTCCTTTCCTTTCCCTCCCACTCCCCCCCCCCCCCCCCCCCTTAAAAAATCCATTAGCCGGCCCCGCTGTCTCTCCTCACGGCTGCTCTGTCCTCCGCGGCCCGCACGATCCCGGGCCCTCGCTGCGGTGCGCTGCGCGCGGCCGTTCGGCAGTGCCGCGCCGCGCCGTGCCGTGCCGCCCTCCTATCGCCAGCCCCGGCCCTGCGCCGCGCCAGCGCGGCCTCCTCCGCCTCTCGGCTGCAGTCGCTACGAGGGGGAGGCCGGACTCTGGAACGAGGCTGCTGCCGCCGCTCGCATTCCTGCTGCAAGGGCCTCCCCTTCAGACGGCCTTTGCCAGAGCAGAACTTTTTAAAATGCTGTGCATAGGCGCTGCTGCTTTTTCCCCTCTTCCTCTCTCTCTCTCTCTATTTAACCCTCCTTTCACTGCTGAAGAACGGATTAATTTTCCGTCTCTCCTGCGCTTGGCTCGGCCGTACTGTATCTCGTTGCATTGAGGTTAAAACTCCGAGTATTTTCCCCTCCGCTGATCCTTTTCTCTCTCTCCCTCTCCTCTCTCTCTTTTTCCTCGGTTAAGGGGAATTGATTTCTTTGGCCGAGCGATGAATCGGGCTTCGCTAGTTTGTATGCTGTGAGAACGAGGGCTTTTATTTGTCACATCCCCCCCGCCCACCCAGTACCGGCACACCGCGCAGCTCACGGAACGGCCGGTCGCTCTGCCTGCCTCTGTACTACAGCTCTGTTTCGGCGGCCGTAGGTGTCCGTGCCTCACGGAGCGGGGCTCCGCTCCCCCCGAGCGCCCCCCACCCCGCCCACGAGCCCCCCGCGATGGCCGACACGGGGGTGTGCGGAGAGCGGGGGGCCCGTCTGCTCCCCGCGGCGGAGGGGAGAGAGATGTGCAGCAAAACGCTGCCTCTGGGACAGGTGCCAGCTCCCAGACAAAAGGAGTGGAATAGGCTGTAAAGAGGGAGTGGGGGAAATTAATAGCCGGCAAAAAATAGGAGCCGCGAGCCTCGGGAGGAGCCCTGGCGGGAGCGCGCTGCCTTGCCGGCCTCTTCGCCGGGTATTCCCGGGCTGCAGGGCGGAAGGAGAAAGTTGTGGCATACTTTTTATTCCTGTCTTCTCTTCAGACGTTGGAAAGCGTGAAGGGAGGATGGAGGGCGCCTCTTTTTTTTTCTTTTTTTTTTTTTTTTTCCACCCTCCTCTTACTGAATTATTCATAGTGTCAGCGGTGAAGCCAGGACTATTAGCATGCATCAGACATGCTGTTTGTCTGTTTGCTAACATTCTTCATTCAAGACTTGTTAACTACCAGACAAGCTTAACATGCTTCTCTTTCTCCTCCCCTTCTCTCTCCCTCTCTCTCCCTCCCCTCTCCCTTCCCTTCCCCTCCATGCCACCCCTCGCAGCCTCCCATTGTTGTCGCTGGGAGCTGGCAGCAGCTGTGGCAGGGGGAGCGTGCGGAGGAGCCGCCAGCCGCCCGCTAGGTAAGGACCGCCTTCCCTCCTCGCAGGCCTGCGTGCACTTGCGGGGCCGCCGGCTCGCCGCCCGCCCGCCCTTCCCGCGGTCGCCGAGCCGCGAGGCGGAGACGCCGCCGCCCGAGGTCGGTCTGCAGCCCGCTCAGGGGTAAGCCGAGCCCCGCCGAGCGGGGACCGCAACTTGGGGAAAGAAAGTGCGCGGGCATCGCGCCTCGGCGGGGCCGCCGGCAGCGTGGCGAGGTCGAAGCCCGCTTCCCTCCCTCTCTCTCTCCCTCCCGTAGGGCTGGCCGAGAGGGACGCGGTGCGGCGATACTTGCCACCGCCGGCGGGTTTTAGGTTGGACTCTCCCTGCCCAGCGAGGCGGCCCCTCCCTTCGCCAGGCTGGCGAGAAGCAGCGGGCTTCGTTTTCTTAGCAGACAAAGGTCGATCACAGCTTTTATTTCTGAATGCAAATCTCCAGGACTTGTGCCAGTCTTGCCTTCATTGATTGCAGAATAGCTGCTGGCTTCAATGGCAATCCCCTCCCTTATTTCTTAAACAGAAAGAAGCTCAAGAAGAGAAACCGACAAAGTTGGGCGGTGCAAGTTTTTATATCTATTTAATATTTCGACGTGTCCCGGGCGTTATTAGACATCGGCGTGCAGAGCGGTCACGATGCGCCTGGGAGCGAGTCCATGGGGTTTTGTGCCATTTGTACGCCTGGGCAACACCATACCCGTCCTGAACTCATATTTTTGAGGTAACTGTGAGATAATCTTCAGTAATTGTATCACATTAGTTATGCGTCCCAATTCTTTTAGCGATGTAGATTTGGGCATAAGTATTTCTAGGGTTCTTATTTAATTTTTCTGGTGGCTGGGATTGTTGAGGATTGCTTTATAATTGCCATTTGTATCATCTCTTCTTACAATGATTTTTTTGATAGCCTGCAAAGGTCCGTAAGTGCTCTAAGTGTATTTTCTATTTTCTACATACATGTGCAGGTACGTGCTCGCGCTTGGTCCCACTCTTTCACTTGCTCTTTGGGGGTTGATGAAGAAATTTACTTAAGTGTATTACTTAAATATTAGACTAATGCCATTTATAGCTAAGTCTAAGTAGCATGCAGTTATGGATGTTCTGTGTTAGGCATTATTTGGCAGAGGGTTACAGATTTATAATTACTCTGAAATTGCCTAACCTGTAACACTTTCTGTGCTTTATACAGCCAAGTGCACATGCAAGCTAAAGTATCTGGAAATTAAGGAGCCTCTTCATGATACCTAGTCCTTCCATATGTATTTGTATAACAAAATGCTTTCTTCTATGCTGAAGAAACCTGGATGCTCATGTAAAATATTTGAATATTTTCATTTAATTTGATTTATTTACTTAAATTCATGGATACCAGAAGGCAAATCCAAATTCTTTTTCTTTTTTCTTTTTTCTTTTTTTCTTTTTTTCCTTTGCAAAATAAATAGAAAATACTCAGTGGCTTGCACAGCACTAGTTTTAAATTCAGGCCATTGTCAGTACTGTATCAAAACCATCTCATTATTGACATTGCATTTGAGCTGTTTTATGGTAACGTAAACTGAAAAAATAACTTGTAACTTTAAGCAGTAAAGTAGTATTTATTGGCCGATCAAACTCAAAGTAAGCAGAGACTGTTTTGGTGAACTGTGCAGATTAAGAAAGGAATTCGGGAACGTATGGCTCAGTGATAGCTCAGCTACAATTAATTTCTTCCAAGTACTTTTCAGAGGCGTGTAGTAGCTGCCCAGGGCAGTGCAGATAAAATATTAACTAATATTTTGATCTTGTAGTAGTTGTTTTAAAATTGCAAACTCCTAAACAATCTTCTCTGTGGAATTTCAGAGCACTTTATTATATTGCCTCCAGTGATGCTGTTTATCTAAAGAGGGTTTTTCTCATAGGTTGTCCCACTTGCTGGGGCTGTCTTGTTGCCGAATAGTAGCACTTAAAGGAATATAAAATTGCTTCTGGTGTGTGAGTTCATTATTCTGTGGTGGCTTGCTAGAAATGATCACTGTGGAAGTGAAAGAGGCAGAACTGACTTACTGCTGGCTTGTTTCACGGTGAGGATTCTTCAACTGCGCTGAATGTGGACGTAGCAGTGCATAAAGATCACGTGCATGCTAATTGGAGAAGAGGGATTAAAATCTGTTGATTAGATTGGGTTTAAAATTCAAAATTATTTTAGTCTAGAACATGAAATAATTGCTGATAGAAATGTTCCGCTCCTCAAATGAATGCCTTCAGGAATTATGCACGTGAGCTAAGGCATTTACATTTGAAAGCATTTTGTGTCCAACTGCCAGATAGTTTCCTCAAAAATACTTGGTGTATGGAATGAAAAATTGAAAGCATAGGCAATACTTTTCTTCATGAAAATATTTTTTTTTCATAATTGACTAGGATGAATTTTTAGCATATTTTCAGATAATAATTTAGTGGAACATAGTGAAAATAATCTAAGATGCTCTGTTAAAAGAAGAAACTGCTTTTGCTCCAGACTGTCTTTCTCCCCTACTCCTTACTCCGAGTGGATTTTTATCTTCCAGAAAGAGATGTACGGTGTTGCTGGTAAATGAAGGTCATGTTCTTAGGCTCCCGGCTCTCCTGAGCGAAACCTTGGCTTTCACCAGGTGGTGCTAGGGGCAGGGAGTGCAGGAGAGCTATCTGCTAGGCCCGTGATCGCAATGCAGGGCTGCACAGAGCTCTGCTACGTGGAGGGGAGAGGGCAGCGTGCATGGAGTGAGCACAGCCCATGGTGTTTTACACGTAGATGGATTGTGATGTGTGGAGATGCTAAATTGGATGTGTGGCATTCTTATCCAGGCTAAACTTTTTGAAATAAATTGGAATTTTGCCCAGCTGAAGACTGCAAGGTTTGGATCGGGCTAAGGGAGGTTTTATTGTGGGCGAATGGGAGCGGAAAAGGAGGAGGTAGAGTGGAGAAAGGGTAAGAGAATGGAAAAGGAGTTCACGCTTTCAGATGTAGGTGCAGCCCTGAGTTGTTTTCATCGAAGTTAGGCAGTAACGTCAGGCTGGCTTCTGTTTTGTATGGGTGCATTGGTACAGTACTGCTTTTCCCCACATCTGCCAAGTATTCACAGTCATTTTGTAACTATGAGGGAGAAATACAAAGGAGGAATGGAAGGAAGGCCTTGTTGCAACCAGGTTTTTCCTGGAGTTTTTTTGGGGGTCGCGTGTATAATTCACGTCCCCGAAGCATTCTGGCAGCCACTTGCAGGCAGGTGGGCTCCCTGTGGCCAGGCCCAGCTCCACACGAGGTGTGCTCCTGGCAGATCGGGGCCTTCACCTGCCTCCGGCTTGTGGCCTCCTCACATGGTGCTGCAGTGCAGGCAGGCCTGTCATCGTGATGCCTTCCTTCCAGAACATGGAAATGCGCACTAATTAGGCATTTTGCCTGCTAACTGCATCAGTTGCTCTCAGCTTGAAACAGGTGCAGGTAATCAACACTCCCTCCTCCTCCCCCCGCAATGGTGGTGATGGTGGGGGGACGTGTGTCTATAACAAAGCAATTCTGTGATGCAGATTTAATTTTGATTTATACGGCCTCGACTGGATTGAAAATACAGTAAATGTAGGAATATGATGATTGCATGTCTTTGTTTCTTAAGACATACTGTAAAGCGTGTTTCTTCACAGCCGTGTGTGTGTTCATATAGCATGTGTTGTCGCACAGTGCTTTTGGTTTTTGCAAGGATACATATTCATGTATTCAGCATGCTTACAGCTAGCTAGACTTATGATTGCAACCAGAAGACAAAAAGTTGAAATGGCTGTAGCCAGCACAATAGGCATTCACGAGGAGAGTGATCCCAGTAGATATAAAATGGCGGGGCAGATTTTTTCAAGCGCATGTGCACTTCTGCAAGTCCTTAGTTTGTACTGCTGTAAACTGTACTGACTGTGTAAATCTGCACTTGTGCATTTAACTCTGTGCCCGGGCTGCAACAGAGAGAATGTGTTTAAGTTTGATGGGTTTCTAGATCCATCCCTCTCTATCCAGATATTCATTAATGTGTTACGTCTGCACATTTCGTGAAAGTCACTGCTGAATCTTGACTTTGACTTAACACTAGCAAGCAAGCCACTTTGTGTTTTTTTTCCTAAGAATGCTGCAAAAATTTTTCCACAGCTATCCCTGCACTTACACGGAATGTTTTTAAATCTCCTAGTGATCCTAGTATTGTCATGTTTTCAGAAAATCTGTTGTCTTCAAAATCAGACATAATTCACTTTATGTTGCATGTTTTGTAGGCATATATGCAGGATAAAATGCCCAGAATCAGCCACTTTGCAGCCTTTTGAAAACATATACCATCAAATGTAAGCTCTCATCATTTTGAGTTGCCCTTTGTAAAAACAGCCATGTTTTAGCAGAAAATTAGTGTTACCAGTTGTTCAGTGATTGCACGCTCTTCTTTCCTGCATGCATTTGAAATGTGCTGTGCCATACCTCTAGAAACAAAAGGTCTGATCCAGAAGCCTCGGTCCATCTGAGCAGTGGGGTTTTTCTTCATTTACTTCAAATGGGATTTGAATTAAGCCTATATATGTAATAGTTTGCACTAAAGACTATTGCAGCGGTTTTCAGGATCGTCCACAAAACTTTTTCAGAACTCTTGTAACTAACATCCAGCAGCAGTACTCCGAAATGCAAATAGAAGCACTGATCATGATTATTTTATAAAAAGGAGAGAGAGCGGGGAGGCAGTGAGCCTCCAAAGAGCTTCTTCTCACTGAGAACAACAAATGAGTTTTGTATGAATAAAAAAGTGAGTGTTGCTTGCCTACTAGCTACATAGTTGATGCATTACTTTCTGCATTCTTTATTTAAATTAGGGAAGGTTGGGTTTTTTTTGTTTTTTTTTTTTTTTGTTTTTTTAATTTTGTTTTTGATGGTGGTATTTGTTGTTTTTTTTCTTTTAGAAGGAGTCCATAGATTTCAGGTAGCATACATACGTATATGTACAAGTTTGTATTTAGTTCAGCTGTCATGTCCTGCTGTTAACTGCTGAGGAGAACACTTAGCTCCTGTCCAGTGTCTCTGGAGTTTCATAGTGACTGTCTCTTCTCAAACTTGTTAAAACACAAATAGGTTAAATTGAGAGTAAATTGCTTTGGATGCTGATAGAAAATTTTGCAAAGGGAAGGAAGATGAGCTAAGGAAAAATAAAATTATTATAATAACCAATATGACTTTATTAAATATTAATTAGGTCATAATATTCTATAGCCCCAGATTAATTATGTCTGCATTGCTGACTGATATTTTATAACCTTTTAAATCTGATGTACGCTCTGCATGTTGCCCATTTATTCAGATACCTGCATACAGATATGTTTACAGTAGCATTCACTTGGCTTCTGAAATTCTTTTGTCAATGTAAATGGGCATTTCCAGAAGAAGAATGCGTCTTCAATTTTAATAACAAAAGAGATCACGTGCTTTTGTAACTGCAGACAAATATTTTTAGAATGCCAAACTGGGGAAAAAAATAAAATGAATTCTTTAAAAGGGGCCTTGTTTTCCTTATTGTCTTTATTTTTCCTTGTCTTAGATAATTTCCAAAATAAAAAAAGACACTGAACCCAATTGATATAGAGCTCTAGAAAACAAGAAGCAGCACCATTTTGTCTGTCAATTTTAATGCTGGCGGGGGGGGGGGCAGGCAGTGACACTTGAGTAGTTTAGAAAAAGACACG